GACGTCCATCCCCGCTAAAAGTGGGTTGTAACTCAAGTAATGGATTCTTAGTTCTTATTTCAACCGTTGCGTAAATTAGCTGCAACATATGAATCAAGATGCTATGACCGAAAAAATTTGATTGACAGATGACCGTTGATATATGATTGGCTGAATTTAGGTGTACAAGCTGACGTATAAAAAACTGGCCTGCTTAAGATAACGAAAAAAACACAGATTTTAAGACAGGATTTTTATTTTAAATAGAGATTTTCTAAATTTTGGGACAATATAATCTGATAGAGTACATTTATATACATGTTTAAGCCAGAATGATTTGAAATTTAAATACGACTTCCCTACGACTTTAAGATGTTTGTTCACTCATGATATCCAACAAACCTCTGAGTTCTTCCCAAAACAAACAAACAAATTTGTTTATCATTACATTACGGTTGTCACTTGACAGCAGGTGAGCATTAGAGTCATATTAGTGTTGCTCAACTTTCAGCAAAGAGACATCCCAGTGTTTGGTTGCCAAGGTTGCCTCTTGATTGTGAGACAACAGTAACTGTGTTGGGTGAACATCAAGTTCATTCCACCAAAAATGTCTGCTGCCCCAGGGTGCATGGAGAGAGCCTGTGATTGGCAGAGTCTCTCCTGTTATTTCATCATGGCAACCTCATGTTCTTTGGCAAGTAGGCTCTCTGGGAAGCCAATTTCAAATAATAAATTATGGCCTCAATAGCTTAGTCTGACAGCAAGAGATTCAAATATTAAGTCAAGGTGTAACAGGGAGGGTGGGGTGGGGGGTCCAGTACCTGGACTTGCAGTGGGGGAGTCCATGGAGCGTGACTCGCTGCTCCCTCCAGCGCTCTCTGTGTCGCTGCACATCCCTCCGCCCTGACTGGCTGAAGCCCAGGGACGAAAGGGACCCTGGATTCGAAGTGCTATAAAAAACAAAGCAAATATAAAACTTAGATGAAGTGTAAGCAGGTGACTGCCATGAGAAACAACCTCTGATTTGTCCATTTGGAACAAAAGAAGAGTGATGGATTGTCAATAGTTTAGTAAATAGAGTTCCTTAATCATTGATACTGATATCAGTAAAGTACAGCTGTTCTTTTTCTTTTCTTTAAATAAACAGCTCTGACTCAGAATGTCTCCTTCTCATCTGTAACAGTTAATTATTAAATAAGACACGTGGTTTGCAAAGTCACCACTGCATTTCATTAAAAATGATATCCTAGTTTAATCTAAACAGCTTGTAAAACCATACTGTAGCTGTTTCCATTGTTCATATTGTGGGTCAGTATGTGGTTCTAGTGAGAAAACAAAGATCTAATAAATTTAGAGCAGCTCAACCTTCTACTATGAAGCTGGACAAGCACCTTTCTGTAAGATTGATCTGAAGATGATTAACCTGAACCACCAGAAAACAGTGATCAGTCCAATCATCAAACACTACAGAGAGAAAGTGAGCAATAGCATTTTAATAAACGGCACCACAATTAAACATTAGTGGAAGAATCCTGGTTTATTGAATATTTTGTACCGAGTCAGATGATGCTTATGGAAATGATCAACTTACATTTGGTTTGATTAGTTTAGATCAAAAAATGCAAAAAGTGACCCATTAGACCTAACTAATGGTTTTTAATATAGTATACTAACAAATACCATTCTTGGAAGCTTTAACAGCTTTTGATTTTATTTTGCCTAAACAATGACATTAAAGAATAGGGATTTTTTTTTTTAGATCTAGATTCCTTGTCATTGGCTTGGATACTTTCTGCTTAACTTTTACATAAATAATATCTTTTAGAAGACAAAAACTAAATCAAGGCTACCTCTTTATGAAAACTTGTACAATGAAACAAACTGTTTCATGTTTGAAATGGTAACAGTTTCCTATTGCAGATGTTTAACAAAAATAAAGTATTTCAAGCAAAGGTCATGTAATATTTGAACTGTTTTATTTAGCTGGGCTCTGGGTAAAATGTCTCTTTGGATTAGAAAGGTTGCTGACCCCTGGTTTAGACCTTAATTTGTGACTCAGAGCAGGAAAACTAGTGAACCACATAATATTAATGAAATGTGGCCAAGTTTATATGAAATGATTTAAAGCAAGTTTTGAATAATGTATTTGATTTGGTACATTTTGCAAAATAATCTTGAAATATTTTAACCAGCTGTATAGTAAGACATGCTTAAACAAATATGAAAAAAAGCACTCTAGTTACTACTTTAGGATTTATTGAAAAGTTTCATAAATATGCCCAAAAAAAAAATCCTAAATCAGCTCAGTTTAAATAAGAAAAAAAGTTGGACATCCATTTTTTTCAGGTTAACGTTAAAAGAAGCATACCTTGGATATCAGTGCCTCCATTGGAGCGTCTCTCTGCTATTTTGGCGTGCTGGCTACTGCTTTGACCGTCCACGTCTTCCCCACCCAGAACGTCAGAGGTGACGGACATCTGCGACAGATTGCTGTGAGACGAGTGGCTGCCGCTCAGAGAACGCTTGTTTAAAGGCAGCCTGAGTCAGAAAAAAAAGAGCAAAACATAAAACAAACTGAAATCTAAGTAGACCAAGGTGAGCTAAAACTTAGAGCATTTCAGAAAATGTAAAACATTCAAACCCATTTTAATTTCTCTGAGTGATAATTAGATTCATAGATCCTCAGCTGAAGAAACAGCTGCTTATTATGTTTGCTAATACAATCAGCAATGACGGGATCCACCCTGACTAATCCTGATATCATGAGATCAGAACATCAAACATACCAAACAATTACTGGATAATGACGACTAACTGACACTGAAGTGTCCAGCTCATCTATAAACCGTGCTTCCCATTGTTACCCCAAAGTATCCCACAATACACCATCAAGTAGGTCAGTGGTCTATATTTAAGCTTTTCAGGGAGCAGTGTGGTGGGTAAACGGGAGCGTGGGTGTGTGCATGCGCCAAAGTTTCATTTCCTCTCTCCCAAGCTGAACTCTTTTGATCAGAAGGATCAGAAGGGGAGGGGTGGGGGTGGGTCGTGGTTGGAGAACAAAGCGCTCTCTTATTCCCCATCTGTCTGGTATGTGCATGGGTTTGTGTGAGTGATCACAAACCTGTGTCAACAATAACCAGCCCCCCCCCCAAAAAAAGAAAAAAACACTTTATAGAAATTAGTAGGACAGCTGAGTGTGTTCATATGGGGGCCTGATAATGAGAGAAGTTCAGCTAACTGAGGGGGAAGCCAACGTCGTTAGCTTCTGTGTCTGCTGACCGCAATCCTTTCCACAGGAAGCACCCACCACCCCGATTGTTTCACGCTTTCCAAAACAATTCCAGTCACTCTCTCACTCTGCTTCCCAGTAGTGAGGTCCAGAGTATATTTAAAACAAACTGTCCCCTTCATTTAGTGGTCTGCTGCTCCATATAGATAATAAAAACTGATCATCTGCATCTCTTATTTCACAGCCTGCAGTATATCTCCCACTTTCCTTCACATTATGAAGCCCCTCCAAGCTAATCATAAACACTGTTGTGTGGGACTTTTGCGTTTTGAGAGTGATGTGAAGTTTGTGTCTTGTGATGACAAAAATACCTCGGAAGGTAAAATATCAAAATGCATTAAAACAATGAAAACAACACAACATTTAAAAAACAAACACTAGACGGAGTATGAGAAGTTATCTAGGCTAACTGCAAAAAAATTAAATAAAATGAATCTGCAGGTAATGCAACACAATTGCCTTCACTTCCCTCGATGAGCGTGATGTAAAAAAGAAACAAATATAACCTCGAAACAAATCTAACTCCTCCGCTTCTTTCCTTTGTTCTGCAGTTTGACTACTCTAGGTCACAGACAAGAGGCTCTCAGTCACTCTTTCAAACTGCACAGTTTGCACATCAACAAAAACAATCAGCCATGTTCTCACTTTTGATTGAGTAATTCTGATTATTTATTTAAACGAAGCCTGTGTTTATGCTTAAATGTTTCCTTTTAACATAACATCATTTGATAGAGGCAGTGTTGTGATATTTCTCTGACTTTTTATATAATTAAAAAACTTTTTTCAATATGTAAAATATTTTATTACTGTTGGCAGGTTTTTTATTTGTCCTTTTGAATGAATACCGGTTGCATGGGGTCTGCAAGGTGATCTTATTGTTTAATGTCGCCAGACCACATAGTCAGTGGTAGGATTTCCATGTGATTGTGGTGATTGACCCTCATGAGTGATTGGCATCAACAGCAAACTGGAGCATCCCTATAATTGTTTTAGAATTGAATTAATGGAAAAGTCTTTTAGAGTTGATAGATAAAAGCAGATGCTTTGGCTGACGGTAACCGGATAAGGCTCTGTGACTTCCCTCTGTAAATAAATGTCATCACTGTTTACCATGACATCTCATGGCATCATGTTACACCCAGACTTCACACAGTGGCTAAACGGGAGCCGCTTGTCATTTTCAGTCTGGTATGTCAGGCATCTCACCAGGCGTTATGAGTGACAGTTGAATCCGACGACTGCGTCTCCAGGCGAGGCCCGTCAGCCGGCAAACTCCTGACGAACTCGATGTAACGCTGGCCCGGTTCGTACTGCTTGGCATTTTCACACAGACTCTGGTGGTTGATGGGTAAAGACACCACCTGGGCCTGCTGGAGCTGGAACCAGTTGACGGTGACCTGCAACGAGGACCGACCTGATAAATCATTCTGCTTTATTTCACTCTCCATTTGTCAGCATGCAGGACATTAAAGCTCTGGACATACAGCTTTGAGGGTGAGGTCGCACTGGGAGACCATTTCTCTGATCTGAGTGATGATTTCACTCTTGGTGTTAGCCAGGTCCACTCTCTTCACGCTCACATCAACCTGGCAGGCTTTGCAGTGCTCCCTGGCCTCCTCCGCCTGTCAGAATGAAGACATATAGCTGCTTATTCTTAAAAATAACATGAATAATTGTCTGCAGCGATAATCAGCTGAAGAAAAAGAAATCGACTGTAAATACAATTCTAAAGAGGATGCACTCTACCTTCTGCAGGGCCTCCTCCTCCAGCCTTCTCCTCTTCTCCAGCTGCTTGGCTGCAGTTGCGCTCCCTCCTCCTGCTATCTGCTCCTCCTCCAGGCGGCTGGTGCTCACCTTGGCCTTCTCGTACTCCTCCTGCCGCTGGGCCTGCAGCAGCCGGGCCTTCCTCAGAGCGCTCTCTGCCTCTTGCTGACAGAAACAGAACAAAATTGTTTATTCACAGGCAGAGAGGGAACTCACACGCAGTTATCAGTAGCATAAAAATGCTACTTAAAAAATGAAACCATAATTTAGATATAACACATAAAATGCAACAGAGTTTATCATTTTGCAATAATAAATCTTATATATTCCCTTTTTAAATACAAAAGGAGTGCAAAAATCGGAGCAACTGCTGGTTATACTGTTAGGAAAGCGGCTGCTACTTTGGATGACCTCATGATAAAAACAAAGCACTCTCAGTCAGCAGCTCACCATTTTCTTCTGCTCTCTCTGCCACTGCTCTTTGACCTCTTTCCGTAGTTTGTCCAGCTCATTCTTTCTGGCCTGGAGAGGCTGCGAACAAACACACTCCGTCTTTAGAACCTCTCGCTTTCCTTTGTTAGTCATGATTTCAATCAAAATAAAAATGATGGATTACCTGGACAAATTTGTTGCTTTGGAGTACTGCTGCGGTTTGAAGTACCAGCTGACTGTATTCAATGTCGTTTTTGAAGGCAGTGGTGTACGTCTCGTGGAACGGCATGAACTCCTGAAGCGTGGGAGGGAAAGCCCTAACGTCAGCGCTCGGAATGCATCAGATACAAAAATGAGTCGCCGCAGCATTTTCTCACCTGCTGACTTGCAAGCGTCTTGGCAGTTTCTGCCATTTTGGCGTAACTTTTGGCACACTCGATATCTGGAAACAAGAACAGAACATTTCAAGCTCATTTCTGAAGGCTGCTTTTGTTGCTCTAATCAATAGCTCTTTACGGTCCGTCCTGTACAGTGTAAATGCAGGGCTTTGTAGGTTCAGCTGAAACCATTCATTAACTAGTCTAACAAACAAAAGATCTCACACTACAAACTCAAACCTGGAGCTGAGATAATATCAAACAAACCTCCAGTAAATCCCCTCATTCAGACTCTCTCTAAAATGTTTTGTTTGGACCTAAAACCAAATATAAAGCTGACCAAACAGTGCTGACAAGAGGGAAAACCCTGGGACTGCATTACATTCGACACCAACAAGAGAGGGAATCAAACACAACAAACATACAAATGAATTGGAGATATACACACAAATCATTCGCCAACTTAAATCAGATGATTGACAGCTTGAAATGTGTGGCTAGAACCTGAAAAACCCATACAGGTTATGTTTACAGCAACACTCTTCAGAGTGGAAGTTGTGACTTAATGATTTTAAGCTTCAGTTCTAAAAAATGAAGGCAAAGGATGGTTTTTAACAGTTGTTAAATACTGCTAAGAGCTACAGACTAAATTTAGGCATTATTATTACAGTTATTTAGACGGGTAATGTGTTACAATCTGTACTGTCAGTTTTGACTAAACCTGTGGGATTCAGGTATTTATGAAAAACTATTACAGACCTTAATTTTGTAATTGTCAAAAAAGATAATCAGTAACATTATTTTACATGGATGGAAATATTGTAAAGAGACGTATTACTTGCTAACAAAAGTAACTTGTAATATAAAAAATGTCACATTTTCGGACTAACTTTCCAGACACTGTTGAACTTTCAGGCTGGGCTCCTCATTGAGTGAGAATTATTCATGACTTGGAAAAACATGACTTGGTCCCCCTTCTGGTATGTGGTAACAAAGAAGGTAGGATTTTCTTTATTTTCTAACCAGTCAATCACTAGTCAAAGTTAGTCACGTTACAGGGTTTATATGTGATTCTCATACACATACATATGTATATTAGGGGTGGAGCGGTTCACAAAATCCAAGGTTCGGTTCGGTTCACGGTTTCGTGGTCACGGTTTTCCGTTTGGTTCGGTATATATGTCGATTGTTAGCCTGACATGTTGGTCGTGTTGCTGTTAGCATAAACAAAACATGTTGCACAATGCTTGCACACTGTTGCACTTTTATCCACAACTTTCTTTCCGCCGTCATCGTAGGTCACTCGAAATGCAGAGTGGTCCAATACAGCAGAACTATAACGTGCTGCTTCCGACTCCTGTTCTTTCCCACTGGTCATACCGACACAATTCGCCACAACAACTGATTTTTTTCTGCTACACCCGGCTACGCTGCTTCGCTTCTTCTTCTTCTTGTTTGCTACTGGTGGTTGGCTTTGGTCGCAGTACCGCCACCTTCTGCTCTGGAGTGTAAACGCTTCGCCTATGAGAAAAAGGAGCCGCATATGAACCGAATGCAACACACGCGAATCGAACCGAGACAGTCGAACCGAACGGTTCGGACGGTTTTCATAAACCGTCCTATCCCTAATATATATAAAATGCTTTGTCATCTTTAGAGTCGACAGGCTGCAGATATCCCGAATTCCTTGTTTTCCAGCCATTTTTGTTGAAATTTGCATTTTCCCATTCTCTAGCTTTTTCTCTGCCTTGAACTTCTTTTCTGAACATACGGCTTTACGATCGACAGGAAGCAGTTCCATGCAAACACGCGAAACCAGTTATATTTGCTATAATATATCTGACGAAATTGTTTTAATAAGCTTTTTTTTTTTTTTATAAAGCATTTTAAATGCCACGATAAACACATTTAATGAATTTTAATGCCAATTAAGGCCTAGGTTTAAATAATTGAATCCCTGCATTAAAACCAAAATTTTTAAGTAAAACACCAACTGGGAGAAGTCTGAATCAATGCTGTCATATTTTATTTACAGCCTTGCTCTTTGAAGGTGCTCTTTCTAACTCACCCACACTAAGCCTTTTCTCCACCCATGCCAGGAGCTCCTTGGTGTACTTGGACCACGCCTTGGCATAGAGCAGCACTGACTCCACTCCGCTGTCCTGTCGCTGCAGGGTCCTGTCCACTTCTTCGGGCCGAACCGGAGGAGAAGGCCCTGTGATTGCAAAGGAAAAAGAAGAAAAGAGGATAGGTTTAACCGATGGACACTAAACATGAGATCTACAAGTGCACCATATGAATGGTTACAGGGCGACATCCAGGACTGTGAGTCAGGGGGGGAAAAAGCTATCTGACCTTGGCTAACAGTGATATGGGCTAATACCATGGAGGCTAACCAACACTGACAGCAGACATGTATAAGATCAGTAAGGTGTTTGCTTGTTATTGACTTAATCCTTCAAACAACACAAGCAGTGTGTAGAAATATATGCCCAGAAACATAAAGCAGCAATAGCATCTCTGCATAAAAAGTGATTCACACACCACTTATCTGCATATTTTTAGCTGTAGTTTTTTTTTTTTAACCTCTCAATCTATTGGTGCTCAGGGAGAACAGTAGCTGTGTCCTCCATTTGAATTACCTGGTGGATCATCTTTCTCAGGACCGGATCCACCAGATTCCACAGAAAGGTTCTCAGAAGACTGAAAGAAAAAGACAGAATGCTTAAAAATAAATAAATAAATACAAAGCAGGGTGGAAAGGAAGCATTTCCTACATGGAAAAACAGAACGCTCCAGAAACATGCATGAAACAATCCTTATCAGAGTCCACTTCCTCCTAAGATCACTTTTACAGTAAAAACTCCAGCAGGAAAACAACAAGGCGCACCAAAAATGTAGCACCGGAGGAGGACCATTTAGGTAAATGCGTCAGCCAGAGAGGGCTTTGTTCACCCCTGAACTCTGCTCTCTGCAGGGTAATCTTTCACATGTCTGGCTGGACAATTCAGCTTCAGTAAGCCACATCCTGGTGTTAAAACTGGGGCTTAAAAGTAAAAAAAGACATGACTCTTTTTTTTTATTATTATTATTTTATATTAGATACCTTTCTAAAAGGAAACAGACTTGAGCCCATTTGAATCAGCTGTCGGACATAAATATTTACTTTTCTTACCCTACATCTCTTAGTCAGGGGGAGCCCCAACACCGATCCATTCTCTACATCTCCCATAAGGAAGTCAGACACTCTGGAGGAAAAATCAGAAAGATAAAAACCAAGGTTAGTGTGAAAAACTGAGAAAAATTACCCCTGAAAATCAGTAAAACTCATTCTTTTTGGTTTTAAAGAAAGGATAAAGATTCAGAATTACAACAAATAAAGTGGGGAGTTATAGATTATTGCTTGAGCTATGAGATGTATTAAATGTTAAAATGACTCAGCTTCCTGTTTCCTTTTGGGTCTGACCTGCAGATTCTGATTTGACTGATTTACAGTTATTTTTTCAATCCAATTTTATGACAAAAGACAGGAAAAAAAACAATGTTGCAGGTTCGTAAGATGAGTTAGTAGCTCTTTCCATTTATGCATCAAACTTGTATTACCTGATGAAGGTTATACGAATTTATGCATCAAACTTGTATAAGCTTTATGACAGCAGCAACAATAAGTACATTCCAGCCAATTAACTGCTTCAAATCATAAGTAATCATTGATGCTTAGTTGGTCTAACATCTTTGTTTATTTCCATCCAGTAAAAAAAAAGTGTTCACAACGGTAGGGTCAGACTTACACATTGCCAAAGGTGAACGCCAATGTGTCAATAGCAGAGTAGATCTCACCAAAAAGCTTCTGTTTGTTCTCCTCATTCACCTCATTGAAGTTAACACCTGGTGAAATGTAAGAAAGAGAGACTGAGTCAGGATTTGGCAGGACAGCGAGCTGATGAATCCTGTGTGCCTCCTTTGTTCAGAGGCATCAGCTCCACGGTATGATTCACCATCCTGTTGATGATGTCAAACATGGAGTTAATGAAAACTTCTAGAGTCACGGTACACTCCTAAAAAAAACCAAGAGTACTCGCCAATCAGATTGTGTACTGAGATTTTTAAAACAAATCAGAAATCCCCCCCCGAAAGGGTCCAAAAACAACTTTGTAGTTTAAAAAGATAAGCAGGGGCTGCAAGTGTGTATATTTTGCTGTAATCTGGCCAAGCAGTAGTTTCCTGCTGCAAGTCTAAACACAGCGATGACTGAGGACAAAATGAAGGGAGAGAGGGGGGTAAATACGGCTGTAATCAGGCTCTACAATAAACTTCCTGTTCTGACGGAGAAAAAAATAAAATTAACTCCCCCAAAAAGATGGTCAAAAAGCAAGAGAAAAGGCGCAACGATAAATACGTGATGTCAAATGGAGGCGCTCTGCATCATTTCCTCCGTCCTCCCCTTCCACTGGAACAATGAACATTTCTAGAGTTCAAACGCATAGAAAGGAGAAACTTTTGTGGAAATCCAACTTTATTTCTCGATGACCACGGAGATCAGCACTTTTTTTTCTTCTTTATGGGAAAATCTAATGTTGGAAAAATTCATACCTTCCATATCTCTCAATAACATGACTCTAAACTACATGTTTTCAATTGTTTTTTTGTTTTGTTTTTTGTATCTCTGAAGGAGGAACATAAAAATGTGTAACGGCTACAGTTTCACAATTTTGTTCATGCCTTGAAACGTGATGAAAGAAATGTCACATGTCATTTCCTAACAGGACAATGCTTTTTTTTTCTCAGGTTATTTCTCAATTCAATTTAGAAATAATGATCAAATGAAACTTAAAAGAACTTCATCAGAAATGACCCACCTTCATTAACTGTTCTTGGCCTCCTCCTAACCGTAATGAACCTACTTGATTCTGGAGGCAAAACCGATTAACCAAAGCTTCTGATCAGCCTTAAATATGAGAAATTTCCAATCTTTAAGCAGCTTTCACTCCCAGAAGGAAAAGCAGCGAAGCACATCCAGTGAAAAACAGAGTAAGCCACAGGTGACAGCCGTTCAGGATACAATGACTTGCGCAGGTTTCGTTGTCCTCTGGAAGCTTCTAGTTAATCCCAAAGCAACTACTGTAGCCAACGGCGATAAAACGCACACGACTCCTGTGCCGTTCCGTGTCCTCCTCTTCTACCCCACCCCTACCCCCCAACAGGACATCCTGAGGCTTGCTGGAATACAATGCCACTACTCGCTCGGGCCCCAACCAACAGTCCCAAAGTGGAAGTTACATCATTGGGAAAAAATGGTATTGTTTGTATGGGAAAAGAACTACACTGTCGAATCACCCGTCCGTCAGTAGCAGAGATCCCTCCAGCGTTCGCCGAGTCGAGGTGCTTTTGGTCCTGTAGAGCTAAATGTGACATTATGGCATGGAGGTAAACGACTACATAAAAAGAATTGGACAATTTTCGTAACTATTTGATCTCATGTTGGACCAAAGTTATCAGCCGACAAGAGGAAAGTAGATCAAATCTAGTCCAGTTTGATCAGATGGTTAATTTTTCCCTCGGTTCTTAAGGGTACAGTTAGTAGTACAAGAAGAAGAGGGGAGGGGTCAAGAAGTGAGCGATTCTGACCACCTAGTGGCAGAAGAGTCCATGGATTAGTCATCAGAAGCTTGTTTATATTCAACTTTAAGCAGCTCTTTAAAAGCAAGTCATTGTAAAAACTAGGAATGAAACAATTAATCAGATTAATCCTGATTAAGCGATTATTCAAATACTCGTTAACTAATTTTGTAATCGATTAATCATTAAATGGAGAATAGCAACTGTAAAATATACCTTTAGCTAAAGGTGCAACGTAATTAGAACAGTAATTATATCAAAATTGGAAAAAATACATATATAAATATTTACTATTTAAGATTTAAAAAAAACATGCTCTATAAAGAACTCCTAAAGTTGAAAAGTTTTAGTTTTACCTGGATTAATTTTGTAAAAAAGTCTTCTTTAAGGAACGTTTGGCTATCCGATTATTAATCGATTAATCAGAAAAATAATCGTTAGTTGCAGCCCTACTAGAAACCTATATAGAACTTTATTCTGGAGCTTCCATCAATCAGTGTTAACAAAGAGATTATCTAAAAGATATTTTATTGAATTTTTAACAGAAAATGTAAATTTCTTTACTTCCAGTATTTTTCGTTTATTATTTTTATGCATCTACATAAAAAATAAAGCACGATCAGACTTAACCGCTCAGTCCAAAACCAGAATTCAAAGACAAACATAAAGTAATAACATGTTTATTAAACCCCTACAAACTGTGGAGTTACACAGCGGTTTTTCTATATTACATTTTCCTGATTGATTTATAGACTTAAAAAAAGTATCCTTAGCTTTTACGGGTTATTCCATCATTTGGTGCTCAGGTGACCAAATTGCAGAATATCTATTAATGTAATTTATCTGGACATCAGGAGCCAAAAAAGTCACAATTTGTTTTAAGAAGGAGGCATATAGTCTTTCAAAGTTGCTAAAACTGCTAATAAAATTGGAGTAAAGCTATAGCATCAGATGGCTGTTTGTCAATAAAATCAAAGGTTTGATTTTAAAAAGCTGCCATTTAAAACAATTGAAGTGTATGTCTGTTTTTAGGGCTTCCTATGAGAGTTAACAGTTTAAGGAGTCTAGTGTGCATTTGATCATCTCCATTACAAATACACACTTTGTAAATTCTCCAACCAAACATAGACAGGATTTTATAATATTTAAAACCTTTACTCCATTTGTGAAAACTAAACGCTTTGGTTTGTCAACATTTTGTTTAAATCTGATCTTGTTCATTTCTATGAACCTGGGTGCATCATTTCAAGTTAAATCAAGCACACCAGACAAAACCCAAATGGTACACCTAAATAAATGAACATATCAGTTAAACTATATGCGTATGTAGAGCCTCCTCTAAGGAGCTGAATGTTCTAAAAAACATTCCTAAAGATAGAGGCTTTGTTATTATGCTTGCAGGAGGTAGAAAAAGAGTGTTCAGCAGAGTAAGCTGTCATGAGAGAAGGGAGGATCAGATAGGGCAGAGAGGGAAAACAGACCGAAGGAAGAGTGGAGGAGTGGTTGGCATGTTTTACAGGAAACCTGCCGGTTACAGCGGGTCTGTTTACATGTTTTAGACAGAGCTGGCAAGCTCCGCTCACCTTTGACAGTGGCGATCACTGTTCCAGCTTTGCTTAGGATGTCCACAGAGTTGAGGCTCTGGTGCTTCTTGATGATGGCCTTCAGGACTCGCAGGAGCTCGCCGAGTCGCTCATGGACTGCCTGATGAAGGCAATCCTGGTGCTCTGGAAGTTAGCAAAAAAGGACCAATTATTTCCAACTATGACTACCCTCCTGTAAGGATATCATCAACTTAAAACCAATCATCATAGCCTTGTAATTTTCCCTGATTTTTCTTTCCTTATTGGAATTCTTATACAGATCAACACAAACAACACAGCTGTGAGGGAGAGGGAAACCAATGAAAAGTTTACTACATGTTTATACAAATAGAAATCTGATAATGCACATTTTATACCACATACTTCAATTAAAACCTGCTAAAATAAACACAGTTAAGCTATTTGTTAACAGGTTAACTGGTCTCAGCTTGTCCTGCCCCAAAGACAACATCAAACCAAACAGTGCATATTACTCTGAAACATGGTGATCGGTGCACCGATCCCAGTTTTATGGCTGATCACTAATCTTTAAAGATAGCCTTATCTGCCTAATCTGATTTTGGCTAATACCATTTTATTTTTTTTATTACTGACACCATCAGGTGATATAAGCATATACACCTTCAATGTTCCAACATTTCTCTATTAAAAAACTCTGAAACAATACTAACTTGTTCTAAGCACACATGAACAGTTAAATATAAATAACAAATATAGAACATTAGAGCTATTATAGACTTATTTAAAATCATACTAGAATGTCCCAGTCAAAGCCTGTATCCAGGTCCACCAAAAATATTTTTTAAAACAAATGAATCTTCAAATCATCTGAATGAGCCTAAATGTCTGCATTTCAGAAACAATTAGCAAAATGATCATCTCTAGATGTTCAAAGCAGGAGACATACCCCAAAAAGACTTTCAGCTGTCAATGTAGAAAAAAGTGAGTCTAGGAAGCGATGACCGAGAGCGGCTGAACGCAAACGCTCTCCACAATCTTCCTAAAAACCATCCATCATTATCCTTGCTAAACAAACCCTTTGAGATTGGTCTGTACCACGTCCAGAAGGTGGAAATACCTCGGCAAGGCGCCGAACATGATAGCATAAATAGAAAGACAGCTCAACACCTCCTACATTACACCTTTGACCGGCACAAGATATTTCAGCCTTACTAATCAGTTCTTAAACATGGTGAAGTCACCACTGTAGAATTTAGGGCTTCCAAGGGTTATAAACAACCTCTCAGACTGCAGCTAATCCTTTCTAACCATCGATGTGCCTCCTGTCCGCAGAGAAACCACCGGTCGGGGAAAAACACTGAAGCTGCCAAATATGGAGATAATGCGACATTGTGTAGTTCCATTATAATTATAGGCTATATGCAGACTTAATTATAAAGAACATGGCATTTCAGGCATTCAGGTATGTCCGCTTTCTCAACAATGAGTCAACACTGTTAACAAAAGGAGAAAATGCACTTTGTTATCAAGTAACCTTGAAACTCTGCTGTTGGCATGCTTGAAGTTCATAAAAGAGAATGCGCCAATTAGGAAGGAGCTCAGAAAATAAAATCGGGTTTACTACCTGTTGGAAACATCCAGGGTGGGGAGACGATTACTCGAGGTGGGAGGACACGGAAAAGTAAAACAGGAGACACTTTTATCTGTTCCCTCATTTATCAATAAACACAATTGTCACAGTGGCCCAGAAACGCTGCAGGACTAGACTGTAAACATGTTAAATACACAGGCTGCTGAGTGAGCTGTTGTCACTCGATGCTTTAAACACACTGTGTTCTGTCATTATCTTCGTCATGCGTTTAAATGAGGGGTTGCGTCTTAGTCACACCTCGCTGGAGACGCACACAGAACGGTTTCAGGCAGTAAAATCCACAATTTGTGCTGACGATCGGCCCCGGATTACCCGTCATGGAAAGAGGGATCAGGAAGACTTTATCCGTCTCCCGGTTTTCGCCCTTTATTTGTCAGTCCTCTGCAGCCAGTTCACCCAAAGCTGTAGGGCCTTTGGCGCCGTCGTGACAATGTTAGTTGCTGATCAGACTAACAACTTCTGTTAACACGTGATGGCCATCACTTGATAACCATAATAACAGTTTTCATATATGCTTGATTGGGAGGAGAGGTGGCTGCAGAACCAATGACTGCAATCCCAGCTGGGCTTTCCTACACAGAATATCCTCCACCATTTAACACTGAAAATAACTTTGCATTTACTTCTACTAGGAATGGCTAATGGGATGTTATTGGACTAATTCAGGTGCATGAGAACTAAAACTTGCCAAATATCCAAGCAAAATAAACAGAACTGAATTCTAAGGAAATCAAAAGAGAATACATTTAATCCCTTGATGTTAAAAGGAGATTTATCTCTTTTCTGAAAAGATTTTGAATTGTTTTCATGACTGTTCGTCTACACTCTGACCTGGGTCATCAGGCGGTCCATGATGGTCCAACTCAGTATGGACTATTGAACAGAAAAGGAAAACAAAATGTGCAGCAGGTTCCTCGATGGACAAAAGATTTGATTCCAAAGAAGATGCAACAAAATCCTCCCCTTTATGCATCAAGGAAAACTTTAAGTTACTTTGATTAAACACAAATCTAAGAACATGCCAGATAACACAATCCGTCACTTAAGCTTTAACAGGCCAAACACATTTCAGCCGACAGCATTTGGTAAAGAGAACAAGGAAACAAAGGACGGCTCCCATTGTGATTTTTAGAAAACATTTTTTTTTTACTTAAATCACAAAGTTGGAGCACATATTTAAAACTGCTTTTGAACAGTTTTTGAAAGCAATTTTCTAATTACGGCCAAAAGCAGAAGAAAACGTTTTATGACTAAGATTTAAAGTGACACAGGGAGGCTTTACTCGAACACCAACCATGACCTGCATCCATTAACATGGATTTTAGTGCAATATTGCCAGCATACTATAATCCCAACCAGCTGTACGCTATAATGCTGCTTATAGCCTCTCTAAAGAGTCTCTCCACATGACCTGTAAAGTCCCATCCTTCACTATGGCAACTCTGCTCATTTATCTTCATCATTTGCCAAGTACAGATCCCACCAATACGGAGAACCTGGTGTGTTTTTGAGCATAAGAGCCTTTTGTGCTTTTGTCTTAGAGCTGCATGCGGTAGGAAACACGCCAGTCCTCTTTTGGCATAGCTATGCGTCAAACTAAGACTCCTTATTTAGACATAATAAACACACATACATCATTCTTACTGTCAAATAGCTGGACCGTTTTAGAAAAAGGCAAAATAAATTATAAAATTAATTTGAAACTGAGCATGAGAACACCTACTATGAACCATCATCTTCTAAATAGGAGCCTCTACTAATAAAAGCTACTTTAGTTTTTGTATTTAATTCCCACCTATTTTTGTATATGCCAGTACTTTTAAGATTAAATCTTTTACACATAAGAAAAATCCATAACTGTTTTGATAAAGGGTAAAGCACTATTAAAGGCTTAAGCCTTAATTATCTTAACTCTGATTAGATACTATAATTACAAACTAGAAATGCAAAGTTAGGTTCTCTTTGCAGAAAAAGATTATTTGAGATGGTCCAAAACTGACATATTTTTTGACCAGACAATATCTATGTGCACCTCTGCAGAAAACCCTAAAGCTTTATCATATGTCTGGAAAAATTATTCTTAAAGGCATCAAGCAGATGAATGCAAGATATTTATTAAATACAAACATTAAACATAAGAAGCTGCAAGACCGAGGGGCCTCTATTAACAAATGCACGAGTGCTCCACTCATTAATGGTGCCAGTTGGCCTGTTTAAAGTCCTTAAAAGAGTGGGTAATTAGAAAGACATTATAGCTGCATCCATCAGCCCAGCAGGACACGTGGTAACGGAGACCAATTGCTTTTAGCTACCTTTCTGGATGCACCACAAAGAGAGAAAGGCCTACTCTCAGCGGGGAGGGCGTGTTAAACGAAGATCTTAAAGGGTGCATTTGTTTTAGTGGAAGTACTGTGATTCACAAGAAGGGAACATTAAGGAAAAAGAGATCACATAGATTTATATCAAGGGCAACTAAATATATGTATGCTGCTAGGATGATGAGGTTTTGTTTTTTTTCCACAGGGAAGTCAGGAACGTCCAGGTCTCACTATTGTCCTAAGGCTAACACTGAGCCCAGCCGCCTCAAGGGAATGCCACATTTATGGACCAATAAATCACAACCGCTCTTCCTGCTCCTTGAGAAAAGAAGCTTTGGGTTTACGTGTGCGTAGTTTAGTCTTTTCTGGAAGGAGTACAAAAGGAGGAGTTTGGTGAGGATGGGAATCTGAGAACAGACTGGAAGTTTGTGTGTTTTTGGGCTTGTACTATCCCCCCTGGGATTTTCTCCCAAATGTACCCCCCCACACCCCTTGTCCCAGCTTCATCTGGAGTTAGGAGAGAAGTAAGAGGCTGAGAGACATTCCTTGGCATAATGAAGCCTTGGTGAATGAAGGCTACATGGGGATCAGACTCGGATCCTGATGAGAAGGAGGCCGCAGATCTGAGCCCTGCCAGCAGCGCATTGCCAGGTTTTTACTTCATTAGCGTCATGGAAACCCGACATTCCAGCCTCTTGTTTGGGAGCCGGGGCAGGAGCTGCAGGAGCAAGGGGTCGAGTCGGGGAGGGGGTTATAATGAAAACATTGCTAGATCACTCACAACTGAGGTGACATCTCAGAACCAAAACACTGAGCAGATGCTTCGGTTGCGCAGCTTTCCAAAAATTATTTTGGGTTGTTTGATGTTACCTGAAATTTATAGGCGCTACAAAGTACAGTATGAATAAGAGCCACACAATAAATATAAAAAAAAATGAAAATAAGTAGGAAAAATTTTATATTCTGTGGGGGATGTGTTTTCCCACATAAAAACGAGCTGATTGGGAGGTGGTCATTTTACCATTTCAATTTTTGTTGCATCATATTCAGAATTGTCAGGTACAAAACAAAGCTGGCTGCCATGGGATGTTTATGAATGATTTAAATCAGTTTTCTAGTTTACTGCACCTGTAGGGGGTTTAGGTGAATCCAAATGCCGTTGTTTTTTTACCACAGGTTGATAGACGATATAG